ATGCTTTACATTTAGTTCTTTTCCAAAATTGACTCTTCTTATCATTTTGAACTATGTTTTCAACTTGGTGTCTGATCTAACTTTGGACATTGGATTTCTGAATTTGCACAAGCACATGACAGGAGCTGCCTATCTCCAATGGATATCTAAAAGCTGAAGAGAGCAGAAAGATTTTTAAGGGCACTATTTACATAACAAAATGAGATGGGGGAAATTCTGTCTGAGAAACCGTTTTCCTCAAAGGTCATACCTCATTTGACAAGTTAAAAAACAAAACCGTGAACTCCAGTGCTACTCACTTAAAAGAGTTTTTCCCAGGAAAAAGGCAATTGATTGCCCTGAATTTTAAGTAGCCAAGACTCTTGTAACCAGAACTATCAGATAATTTGTAACCTTGAAAGATTTATGATGAAATTAAAAATTTCACCTTTTCCCAATTTAACAATGACTGACAGAAATAGACTGCTACCATCTCTTAAACCTTCCCTATTCCACTTAAGAGAACTCTGGTGGCCTAGTGGAGAAAGAGTTACACTGCCAACTCAAAGACAGACAGTTGGAATCTACCAGCTGCGCCAAGGAAGAGAGATGGAGACTATCCTTCCATGCAATTCTCAGCCTCTAGAAACCCACTGGAGGGACAGCTATGAGTCAATTCTCACTTGATGGTAATTAGAGTGAATGGGAGTCATTTCCTGGCAAGCTGAGGGGTCAATTTCAATTGAGGAATGTTGTTGTTGTTGTTGTTATGTGCAGTCGAGTCGCTTGCGACTCATAGCGACCCTCTCTACAACAGCCCTAAACTCTACTCTATCCTGTGCAAATCACATTGCCTCTGACACACCCAATCCCGATCACCCCAGTCACTGAATCAGTCCATCTCATAGAGGGTCTTCCCCTCTTGCGCCGTCCCTCCACCCTCCCAAGCATGATGTCCTTCTCCAAGGACCTGTCCCTCCTTACAACATGTCCAAAGTATGTCAGACGAAGCCCCAGAACCCTTGCCTCCAAGGAGCAGCCTGGTTTAACCCTCTCCAGGATGAACCTATTTGTTTTCTTGGCAGTCCATGGTACATTCAGTACTCATAGGCATCAGTTCTCCTATCCTCCCTAGTCACTGTCCAACTCTCTGATGCATAACAAGTGATTGCAAAGACCATGGCCTGTATCTGATGCACCTTAGTCTCCAGAGAGACACCACCATTGCTTTTTAGTACTTTGGAGAGGTCCCTAACAGAAGACTTTTCCATGGCAATACATCTTTTAATGTCTTGACTACTGGTGCCAAGAGTGTTGACTGTGGAGCCAAGCAAACTAAAGCTGTGAACAATCACAATCTCTTCACCATCCATCCTGATGCTGCCAATTGGCTCAGTGGTGAGAATCTTTTTCTTCTTGACATTGAGCCTCAATCCAGATTGAAGGCTGCAGTCCTTGACCCTCTGCAGCGAGCGCTTCAGGTCCTCTTCAGTTTCAGCAAGCAGGGTTGTGTCATCTGCATAACACAGATGGTTGACAGATCTTCTACCAATCCTGACACTACATTTCTCCTCATAGAGCCCAGCCTCCCAGATAATCAGGTTGAAAAGCTATGGAGACAGGACACATCCCTGACGTACACCCTTCCCAATTTTGAACCATGCAGTGTTGCCCTGCTCTGTTCTGACGACTGCCTCTTGGTCCAAGTATAGGTTTCACATTAGCACAATCAAGTGTTCTGGGATTCCCATTCTTCTCAGAGTCAGCCACTGTTTGTTATGATTCACACAGTCAAACGCCTTTGCATGATCAATGAAACACAGATAAGCCATTCTTCTGGTATTCTCTGCTTTCAGCTATGATCCATCTAACATCAGCTACAATATCCTTAGTACCACAACCCCTTCTAAACCCAGCCTGGACTTCTGGCAGTTCTCTGTTGATGTACTGTTCTGGTCGTTTTTGGGTAATCTTCAGTAGAATCTTGCTTGCATGTGAAATCAATGATATTGTTCTGTAGTTTCCACACTCAGTTGGCTCACCCTTCTTTGTGATGGGAACAAAGATAGATCTCTTCCAGTCACTTGGCCAAGGGGTTGTTCTCCAGATTTCTTGGCACAACTTGGTGAGCACTTCCAGGGCAGCATCTTTTAGCTGAAATGTGTTAATTGGTATACCATCAATTCCCGGGGCCTATTTTTTACTATTTACTTCAGAGCAGCCTGAACTTCTTCCTTCATCACCATAGGCTCTTGCTCATATGTTGTTTCATTAAATTCTTCCTTTTGATACAGTGACTCAGTATATTCTTTCCATCTTCTTTTAGTACTTCCTGGATCATTTCATAGTCTGCCTAAAGCATCCTTGATTATAGTAGCTCAAGGTTTGTATTTAATCTTCAGTTCTTTGAGCTTAAAAAATGTTGAGTAAGTTCGGCCCTTTTGATTTTCTGACTCCACTTCCTTGCACATTTTGTTGTAATATTTCACTTTGTCATCCCATGCTGCCTTTTGATATCTTTTTTTCAGCTCTTTCGTATCTTGAATTCTTCCTTCTGTTTTGGCTTCTCTGTGCTCCAGTGCAATCTTCAGAGTTTCTTCTGGCATCCATTTTGGTCTTTTCCTTGTAAAGATGTAGTCCTCATGTATATTGATACTTAGAAAGGTATCATTCCCTTGAAAAGAATGTATCTCGTACACACAGTGAATGCAGTCTAACATACTGTAGTTTTCACCAAAATCTCCAAGTCAGTGAAGGAAATAGAATCCATTTTAGTCACAGGTGTGCATTTTTGTGCAATTACGTGTAAGTGGCTAAAAATTATATTCAATATACCCAATAAACAATCAAACTTGAAGAAAATCAGTTGCTCTTTTAGCCCAACAACCAAGATGTGCAAATTTAAGGACAAAATTTTAATTTGCAGAATTTCTTGGTGAGTAGCTATTAAAACATTTTAGTACAAGACACCCCACAGTTTGGGGGTGGTCCACCACATAAAAGGTTTGAGTTATTGCTGAATTTCATTGGTGATGTGTGTTTTTGGCTTGGCTTTGTTTTGTTTTGGGTTTTTTGTTTTTTGTTGTTGTTGGTTTTTTTTGCTTTTCAGTTTCTACCCCTTGAAAGTTCATGGAAGATAAATCTGGAAGTATTTTAAAGGTGACACATTTGGAAATTACTCCACGTCTTAACCATCTTACACACTTTCTCCAGGGTGAACTGCCTGGACTGCCTTTCACTACAGCAGGCATTTGTTTAATAATAGGATCTTTATTTCTTGAGAGAGATATGCTGCTTGTATTTATTCTCTATTCGAAGTCACAATCCTTTGTCACAGAACAATCATTTCCACAGTAACCAGCTGTGATGTCATAAGCAAGGGGAGTAGGACAGTTTCAAAAAGAAAGAAAGGAAAAGCACATAATCTTTAGATTGAGGTTTCTGGGTTTTGAAGCTGTCTCTTCAGTAATCAAAATATTTTGGCAGAACTTCAAGGGTTGTATATTGTGGGTTGTGAAGGGATAGCTTTTTATTTCATTTTATTCTAATTCCGTGCCAATGATATTTGCCAGTAAAATACATTAAACATATTCCAGAAAGAGTTAATTTAGTAGAGGAAAAATGTGTCTCCCGAGACTCAAGAAGGTACATTTTCTGTCTTGCTATCGTTTCCGTAATAGGAATAATGTTTACATTTCCTCAGCCCATGCAATGCTTCTAATGTATTCCTGTTCTTTTCACTCTCCAGAGGCAGGAATTGAGGTATTTGAGATTTTATTTTTTTAGCAACTGCATCAAGCACTTAAGACATGACAATTTGTGATGTGTATTCTCACTTGGTATTAAAAAATAAAATCTTCAGTGTTTGCATTTGATTAGAGTCTCTCAGCTTGATAGCTGATTAAGCAGGACTGTGGAAGGCAACTTTCTTCAGAAATGGTGCATCTTGGTTAATGTAGTGTAAGATTATTGACGGGTATAGTCACATAATTTTTATTAAATTGAAGAGGTTAGCTCACCGTGACAGCAAACTCTAGCTGTATTAATGAGACCTGGCACTTTGCAAACCCGCTCCAAGGCTCCAAATGGTCTTTTTGTTCTAAGCATTCTTTCCGTTCCAGTAAGGAAAGAGCTTCATTCAGATAGTCAGCATATTTACCTGAAATTGAGTGTGTTTTGGAGGGATGATGCAGAATCAGCATAAACATATATAATCTGTGAACTTTAGCTATTTTCATGTACTGTAAATGATTTACATGCTCTTTCCTCTGGATACTTTAAATATAAACATAGCTTGTCTTCAGACAAAGCCCATGATGGTTACCAACAGGGCCTCAGGAGAGACCCCAGCTGGAACCTTAAAGTGTTAGGCAATTTGTTCACTTAACATGCATAAAATAAGTTCTTGGGTGGCATAAATTATTAAGCCCTGGACTATTACCTGAAAGGTTGGCAGTTCAAACCTTCACAGACGCACCTCTGAAGGTCTGGCTGTCTGTTTCCAAAAGGGCACTACCTTGAAAACCATAAGGAGCAGTTCTACTCTGACACACTTGGGTTCGCCCTGGAATCAACTAGCTGGCAACTAAAACAAAAAATGTGTATAAACACAAAAATGGGTATTCCCTCCTCTTCATCCAGATTAAAAAAATACCTGGGTTACTGCAATGCACTAAGGGAGGGACTTAGAAACAGGTGAAGAAGGATGTGCAAATTTTGAAAATTAAAAACAACTCTGTCAAGGTGCACTGTGCAGCAGAAAGAATAGGTGCTGAAGGAGTACAAAGCACTTTTGCAGAGCATAAGGAAGGCACCCAGATGAAGTGTACCTGCATACGTCATAGAGGGGCCTTCAGAAGGATTAATTAATGTTTGGCAGTCTGTGACTTGAAGACAAGTTATGCAGAGGTGCTATTATCACTTATTACTGTTATTAATTAACAGGATGAATGCCCAACAAAAATAAGGCAGGCCAGCAGCGTGTTAAGTTTCTTAACATCCTATGTGATTGTCTGTTGCAGGAGTCATTCGGGAGAGTTACCTCAAAGGCCACGACCAGCTGGTGCCCATCAGCCTCTTGGCCATCGCGGTGATCCTGGCTTTTGTCATGGGGGCCGTGTTCTCGGGCATCATCGTCTACTGCATCTGTGACCACCGGCGCAAGGACGGGAGCGAGGTGGCGCGCAAGGACAAGGAGCTCACGCACTCGCGCCGCGGCTCCATGAGCAGTGTGACCAAGCCCGAGGCCATCCTCACGCCGCTCATGCCCAACGGCAAGCTCCCCACGCCCAGCAACACGGCCAAGATGCTCATCAAGGCCGAGCAGCACCACTTGGACCTGGTCGCGCTGCCCACCCCGGAGTCCACCCCGACACTGCAGCAGAAGCGGAAGCCCAGCCGAGGCAGCCGCGAGTGGGAGCGGAACCAGAACCTCATCAACGCCTGCACCAAGGACATGCCCCCCATGGCCTCCCCCGTGATCCCCACCGACCTGCCCCTGCGGGCGTCCCCCAGCCACATCCCCAGCGTGGTGGTGCTGCCCATCACGCAGCAGGGCTACCAGCACGAGTACGTGGACCAGCCCAAAATGAGTGAGGTGGCCCAGATGGCGCTGGACGACCAGGCTGCCACGCTGGAGTATAAGACCATCAAGGAGCATCTCAGCAGCAAGAGCCCCAACCATGGGGTGAACCTCGTGGAGAACCTGGACAGCCTGCCCCCCAAAGTCCCTCAGCGGGAGGCCTCCCTGGGCCCCCCGGGAGCCTCCCTGTCTCAGAGTGGCCTGAGCAAGCGGCTGGAAATGCACCACTCCTCCTCCTACGGCCTTGACTATAAGAGGAGCTACCCCACGAACTCGCTCACGAGGGGCCACCAGGCCACCACTCTGAAAAGAAACAATACTAACTCCTCCAATTCCTCCCACCTCTCCAGAAACCAGAGCTTCGGCCGGGGAGACAACCCGCCGCCCGCGCCGCAGCGGGTGGACTCCATCCAGGTGCACGGCGCGCCGCCCGCGGGCCCCGCCGTGACTGTGTCGAGGCAGCCGAGCCTCAACGCCTACAGCTCGCTCACGCGGCCAGGCCTCAAGCGCACGCCCTCGCTAAAGCCGGACGTCCCTCCCAAACCCTCCTTCGCGCCCCTTTCCACGTCCATGAAGCCCAATGACGCGTGTACATAATCCCAGGGGGAGGGAGTCAGGTGTCGAAGCAGCAGGAAAAAGGCGAGGCGCCCCGCTCAGCTCCGCAAAGGTTCTCCACTGCCTCAGAGCACCCACCAGACCAGGATGGCCGCGGCCGAGCGGAGGAACAGGAGACTCCTGGAAAAAGGGGCCGCGTGGTTTGGTGAAGGTTTGCAACTGCGGGACTCACCTCCATTCTTTTCCTTCACTCTCCCTCACACCCCACTGCAGGTTGGACTCACAAAAGACTTCAGTTATCATCACCAACATGAGCCAAAAGCACATACCCACCATGAACGCAGACACACACACACACACACACACACACACACTACAGATAACACAGAGGTGAACAAGCAACTGCAACAGTTTGTCCATGACTGCACGCGGGCGCTGCCAAAACTGGGCTGGCGTTCCAACCTTCAGAACACAAAGGCATTTTTTAAAAAATGATGAAAATTAAAAAGAAAAAAAATTAAAGAAATCATTGATAATGCTAACTCAGACTTTAACGATGGCAGAAGTTTACTATGCGCAGATACTGTGAAATGCCCACCAGTGTTACAGCTTTCTGTTATAGCAGATTAATGCCATGTTGGGCGAATATGTCATAGATTTCTGCTCCTCCTCTCTCTTAATCAATAACGTGACCGTTAACGCAAGTAACTCTTTTATTTATTGTTCACCCTTTTTTCCTTAAGGAAAGGACTCTTCCACATATCATCCTATGAACAGCTCTTCAAAAATGCCCATTGAAAGTTAAAACTATTTAACATGCAATCCATTAACTGGAATAATTGAATTTCTTTATTTTTACAATAAATTCACTGAGTAAATAAGTTTGAGCTGGAATTATGAGCTTTGTGTTTGGACTGTCTGATCTCTAAATCAAGGAAAGAGTAAAGAGGGGGATATTTATTTAAAAATCAATTAATTTGGTGGTCAGGTCTCTGACATCTGAAAAAAAAGAAAGTTTAAAAGCCCATCCAGATTCTAGCTGTTAAGGCAACTAGGAAAGAAACTTCTAGAAGGGCACAACCTGCCTGTCAAATTGCTGCCAGCCTTGCTTTGTCGGTGGTTACTACTTTCTGTGAAGGCACCAGCTTGTGATCCACCATCTCATTTCACCTTGAATGTGAGACAGCAGACAAAATCCACAAACAGTGTGAACTAATTCATGTGCTGGCTGCTTCCTTGCGTAAATTAATGGTTTGATCACACGGGTGTTTTCGTAGGGTTACATCTGTGAATAGCCTGTTTTCCACATGTAAATTTGTGCCTTACACCCCAAGTTGTGTACACTTGTAAACTGTCGGTATGATAAACCCCCACCCTTTTGAAATAAATGCATATATTTATTTAACCCTCCCTCCCCTCACCTACACTCTGGAAGATTGGAGTCAAGCAGCTGGAAGAAGAATACAGTGGTGATTGTTAAAATCCCATAACCCAGCTTGGGAGCTGTGCAGCACCACATCCTCCAATTCACACTTCCTTCTACTCTTGCCACTTGAACCACCCTCCGGCCCTGCCACTGCTGAGTATGAGCCCTGGTGGTGTGGGTAGCTCGCCATTTCCCTTATATTCTCAGATCATTTCAATATGTTGATACCCTCTCTGGTCATCAGTAATACCCCTATTTCCATTGTGCTGAGCCCACTTTCTGGAGAACATGCTGTGTGCAGTTGGATAGGCACCTGGAAGGGGACTCCAAGCCATGTGCTCAGCACACTCTTCGAGTGCACACAAAGAAATGACATGGAAATACACGCAGGCGGGCTAGTCCCTGCTGTGATTAATGAGCACCTCATAACAGGGCCAGCCAACCACAATGGATGCTGCAAAACTTTGACTAGGACAAACAATTTTTAATTATATATATTAAAAAAAACCAAACAGTATCCCTTTTTTGTTGCTATTGTTTGTAAGAGTTGGAAAGAGGTGATGTGTATTAGAAGGTTTTTTCCCCCTCTTGGTTTTCATTTGCTGAAACACAAAAGAAGGGACTTTTGTTTACCTTTTATGAACAAAAGACTTGTCAACATACTGTAAAGTTAGCATTGTTGTTGGTCATTAATTGTTTTGTTAAACAGTTAAGCCATTTAAATGGTGGCCTCTCTTTCTCTTTTATTTCCTGTTTGATCTTCTAGGCTTAGGGGTTTACCAGGACGATTTTGAGTTGGCTATATAAGAAAGTGATGATAGCCTTGAGTGGGACGTGCACAGCTCTTGGTTCTAGACACCCATTGTGGTTTTTGCTGTTGTCATTGTGGGTAGCGTTTTATTGTTAGGGGTTTGGTTTGGTCTTTTCCGTGAATTGGATGGTCACATCCTATGAAATCTATACCCTGAAACCATGAAGTCTTATCAAAACTGAGATCTTTTCCCCCCTTGACTGTCCTCTAGCAATGCAGATGTTAGAAAGGTTATGATATATCCACAGACCACCCTGCCACCTTCTTCCCATGTTTGACTCCCTAGAGTATTGATGGTGCAGTGCTCACCAGCTGACAGAGCCAGGGGCTCATCCCAGTATGTGTAGAATCACTTACCTCTGCTGTGTTAAGGCGATCTGTGTCAAAGCTGACTTTCCACGTCCTTGCTTCCCACCACCCCTCACATCATGGTGTTAACCCTGAAATGCCCACATGTATTGAGCAGATCCTCTGCATTTAAGTATTTCTCCCCTTTCAATTTTTTTTAACCCACTGCGTGTGGGGGGAGGGTCCATAAACCTGAGTGTGCCTTTGCTTTCCATCCTGCTAGCCACTGGTAGATGCAACCAACTCAGATTTATATTTGTTGTAAAGTTGTAAAAATATTGTGATGTCACCACCAATTCCTCTTCCATGTCCACATCTCCTAACATCTGATTCACGACTTAATGTATGTTATAAAAAAGAGAAAAAGAAAAGAAAAAAGGGATAAGGGGGGAAGCAAGGAAAAGGCTCTTTATTACTTGAAAGTAATAAAACCAGACTGTTCTACATTATCTTTTGTGTCTTGAATGCTTTTATTTATCTCTTCCTTTTCCCCTTTCTAAGTACTCCCACTCTTGGTGTGATTCTACTCTTCCATTTCTATCTGCTTTCCAAAGCATAAATAAACATATAGTTAGATGCATTCGTTTGCAGTGCCGTCCAAACACGTGCGAGCACGCGCACACACACATTTACTCCAAATTATTGATGTGTTTTCTTTGCCTGCACCCGGCCTGGAGCAGGACGTTAGCAGAAGCCACTGGTAATTAAAAGGCAGAGCACGTATTGGCTCCCTCTATTCATTTTATGCATTTTCTTTTTATGGGCTTGTTCATCATCAAACATTTATGGTAGGCTTGATAGTTTAAGAGATCAAGGCTAGGATTTTAGTATGTAGGGTCCACTAAAAATAGATCTCAGCACAGATGTGACTTCAGCCTTTTTTACATATTAATAAGGTGGAGGGTGCTGAATTTTACTCCTTGTTAGCATTTCTCTCTGGTAACCCAGAAGACACGGTCGGAGGTATATTGGGATGCAGCACTTGATTTTTATTTTGCAGAATAGCAATACAAAATGCCTAAATCAGGTTTTCCTCCTCTGGGATATTTTTAAAACACTTATTTAAATAAGCCCTCTGCTATATAGCTGTATGCTTTGACCTTCTGAAGCTCTTTCTTTTTAATGTTGCAGGTAAGAAAGCTGTGGGTTGAAGCCTCAGTTCACACCAACAGTGGCCTCTCAGTCTGGCCTAGTCACTAATAACATCTAATTGGGGCTCCGTCTGACATACTTTGGACATGTTGCAAGGAGGGACAGGTCCTTGGAGAGGAACATCGTGCTTGGTAGGGTGGAGGGATAGCGCAGAAGGAGAAGCCCCATATGAGGTGGATTGATTCAGTGACTGGGGTAATCGGGATGGGTGTGTCGGAGACGGTGTGATTGGCACAGGACAGAGCAGAGTTTAGGGCTGTTGTACATAGGGTCGCTATGAATTGCAAGCGACTCCACCGCACATAACAACAAAACAACAACAAACTGGGGGCAGGGTTAACCAATAATGAGAAGATTTGTTAGGCTATCACAAAGGTGAATAGTGTGTAGTTTGTCTCCTCCTCTGCAGTGATTGACATTTCCCCAGTAATACCACAGACAGGTATTTCAGGCATCTGGAGAAGGAAGAGATGTTTCACTTGGTTCTTGCAGGATGAATGGTTCTCTGGATAGCTGGTCCAAGTAGGGATAACTTGTGTGAAGGTGCTAATGTGCTAAATTAGTGTTATATCAAAAGATTAGCTGGCCTTCAGTAAGATTTGCGGATTGGACAGACAAGGAAGGGCCTGGTTGCTGTATCGTCAGATTTTAGCTCTTGGGCAACAGGGTGCTTTTGGAGTGTATGAAACAGCAACCATGAATGAGTGCTTTAAGAAGCTACTAGTAGGACTGTGGAGAACAGACTGGGCCATGATCTGTGAGCAGGAAGACCAAGGTGTCAAATAGCTACTATTGTAATTATCTAACCCTTTTATAACAGAGATACAAGTGAATAATAAGGAAACTGACTTCCTTGGAGTTTAGAAGGCTGTTGTGGCTATTGTTAGGTGCTGTGAAGTCAAGTATGACACATGGCAACCTTGTGAAGAAAAGACCTGAACCCTGTTTTATCCTCTGCCATCCTCGTCATCTCTAAGACACTTAAACCCATTGCTGCAGTCACTGTGTCAATCCATCTTGTTAAAGGTCGGCCTTTTCTTTTGGTGATTCTCTACCTGTCCAGGCCTGGTGTCCTAACAACACACCCAAAATATGTGCTAAAAGTTTCACCATCCTTGTCCCCAAGGAACACTCTGGCTGCACTTTATCCAAGACATACATCTTTATTCTTTTGGCAGAGCGTGGAACACTCGATACTCTTCTCCAACACTACACCTCAAAGGTACCAGTTTTTCTTCTGTCATCCTTGGCCATTATCCAGCTTACAGATGCATAGCAAGTAATTGAAAAGAGTATGTCCTGAAT